AGGACAGGGTCTACAGGGTCTCACTACATAGATTAGAGCAGTGATTCTCCTGTTTTTAGCCTCCCAAGGGCTGGGATTGCAGGCATGCGCCACCATGCCCAGTCTCAATTGCTGTCTCAGCAAGCCCTGTGGGTGGGGCCAGCACAGATCTCGGGGGATCGAACCCTGGCTGCTGCGCTCTGCCTAAGCAGGTGCTTTAGTCTGCTGAACTATCAGGCTAACCCTCAGTTTGAATCTTCTGAGGCTTACTTTACACTTTGCTATGGCAGTACAAGAGACTTTTTCTATCACTAAGTATAATTCTACTGCTAAGGTGTGACCCTTTTGAGCCTACCACATGTCTCTTCACTCTGGCTGATGGGAAGACAACTGTGAGTTCTACAAGCTACTTAGTTGTTTTCTGCAATTTCACTCTTGGGTTTTATGTCATGTATGTACAAATCACTACACAAGACAAAAAACTGAGAGGAACCTCTGTGGAGATCTCTGATTTTCTTCTTTTTTTTTTTTTTTTTAAATTTTATTTATTTGTTTATTTACTTATTTATTTTATGTGTGTGTGGCCAGCTCAGCCCACCAGGGGGCGGGGCTGACTGGCATGTGGTGCTGGGGGATTGAACCGCAGTCCCTGTGCTTTGATTAGCTTAGCTTGTTCTAAGTAGGTGCTTTAGACCACTGAGCCATCTTACCAGCCCTCTGATTTTCTTTGTGTACAAAGCTTACTTCTTTTCAACATTGTTTCACTCTTCTCACTCTAACTTCTGTCTCAACTTAGGAAGGCTGCCAAGCTCTATTCTAGCTCCCTTCCCTGTATACAGCCTAGATCCTACCTTTGGCACTAAGCTGGGGCAACCCTGTTTCTCCCTCTCTCTTGGGTAGCATAGTCCCTTGCTGACTGATGCTCAATGTCAGCAACTTTGATTTCACATGTCTTAGCCATTTTTCTTGTTATGGCAAAAGGGCAACACTTACAGGCATGAGCTAACTTTCTGGACCACATAGGGGGTGCTGGATCCTACACAATCACTTTATATCCAACAACTCCTTTAATACTCAAAACAATGATGTGAGGGAAGTACAGCTACTATTTTATAGACAGGAAACTGAGATTAAGTAATCTAGAATACCATGACTGGTATACACTTGATCTTAGCCAAAAGGCCGAGAAGCAATTATACTTTTTTTTTTTTTTTGCAGAACTGGGGATTGAACTCAGACCCTTGCGCTTACCAGGCAAGCACTTATTCTACTGAGCCATCTCCCTGGCCCCCCATGACTGGCATAATAATATGTGGAAGGTGGTTTCAAATTCCAACAGCCTAACATCTAAAAAAAGTTATAATGATTATACTGAATCTCTAAAGAGAAAGAAATGGGTAAGTTCAAAAAGCAAGTATCTTGACATACAAGATAAAGCAAGAATCAAGACAAAGGATTTGAATATACATTTTTTCAAAAAACCAAGCAAATGGATAATCAACACTGAACAGATACTCAACGTCGGGCTGGGGAGATGGCTCAGTGGAATAAGGGCTTCCCTGGCAAGTGTAAGGGCCTGAGTTCAATCTCCAGTTCCACCAAAAAAAAAAAAAAGGCAGATACTCAATGTCACTAGTCATCAGTGAAATGCAAATAAAAACACATGATGAGCTACTACTCCATTGCCACTATGAAAGGTATAACAAAAAGATAAACAATAACAAGTGCTAGTAACAATGTAGAAAAACTGTAACTCTTACAATGCTGGTAGGATTGTAAATGAATAGCATAATTACTTTGGTATATAGTTTGTAAATTCATTTTTTTCTTTCTTTTTTTTTTTTTTTAAATTTTATTTATATATGTGTGTGTTGTGTGTGTGTGGCCAGCTCAGCCCACCAGGGGGCGGGGCTGGCTGGCATGTGGTGCTGGGGGATTGAACCGCAGTCCCTGTGCTTTGCTAAGCTTGGTCTAAGTAGGTGCTTTAGACCACTGAGCCATCTCACCAGCCCCCATTTTTTTCTTTTTGTGTTTTGGTCTTCTTGAGACCAGGTCTAGCTATGTAGTTCAGGCTGGCCTTGAGCTCACTTTGTAGCCCAAGTTGGTCTCGAATTCACAATGATCCTCCTGCCTCAGCCTCCCAGTGCTGGGATTACAGGCATGCACAACCATGCCCAGCCTAAAATTTTTTTTTAAATTTTTAATTTGTATATTTGGTATAGGGCCCTCACTACAAATTGGATTTGTGGTGATCCTCTTGTTTTCAGCCTCTCCAGAGCTGGGATTGCAGGCCTGTGCCACCATTCCCAGACTCTACTGCTGGCTCAGCATGCTCCAGGGGCAAGGTCCGTGCATGGCATGCAGGATTGGGGATTGAATCCTTTTCCCTGTGCTTGCCAAAGCAGGCGCTTAATCCACCATGCTATCTTGCTGGCCCTAAAATTGTTTTTAAAGACAAGGTCTTGCAATGTTGCTCAGGCTGGCCTCAAACTCATGGGTTCAAGTGATTCTTCTAAGTGGCTGAAACTATAGGTTTGTAACACCCCAAAATGAAGATAAAAGATTAAATGTAGAAATGTCTGGGTCAGCATTTCAACTCACAGGTATATAGACAAGAGAATTTCAAAAATGTGTATAAAAAGCCTGTACAAAGTGTCTCCAGTGCTGCCATAAGCAAAGTGTGAAGGGTCAGAACAATCAAACTAATCTGCAGGTTATTTAACTGCACTAGACTAACTCCAGTTTTTAATTACATGCCTATAATTTTATCACTCAGGAGGCTGAGGCAAGATTGCCAGGGGTGAAAGGCCTGTGTGAGCTACACAGTGAGAACCTGTCTCAAAAGCAAACAAACAAAATACACCTGTATACAAATGTCTACAATAGCACTAGACATAATAGCTAAAAATAGAGAACACCCAGATATTGATGGACACAATGCAATATATCCATATAGTGCAATACTACTTGAGAGAACAAGGAATTTTTTTTAGGTTTTTGTTGTATTTTGGCTTTGCCTTTTATTCTTCATTTTTTAAGACAGGGTCTTCCTATGCAATTCAGGCTGGCCTCATACTATGTAGCCCAGTCTCCTAAGTACTGGGATTACAGGTGCATGCCACCACACTCAGTTGCTTTTGGTTTTATGAGACAGGGTCTAGCTACACAGATCAGGCTGGCCTTTGAACTCACGCAGTTCTCTTATCTATACCTCTAGTGCTAGGATTATGGGTGTGTGCCACTCACTATACCCAACTCAGAAATGAGTTATCATTTTTTTTTCCAAGTACCGGGGATAGAACTTGGGACCTTAAGCTCACCAGGTAGGCACTTATGCCACTGAGCTATCTCCCCAGCCCAGGAATAAATTATTAACATATATTACTGTATGAATAAAACTTTATTCATTTTTGGTTTTTTTGAGATAGAATTACACTTTGTAATTCAGGCTGATTTTGGACTTACTATGTAGCCTAGGCTTGGCTGAAATTCCTGGAAATCCTCCTGCTTCAACCTCTCTAGTACTGGGTTTATAGGTATGTACCACCACACCCCCCCTTCTATGGAAAAAAAAAAACAAAACCTTAAAATATTATGCTATGTGGAAGAAACCAATCATGGAAGGCTTTGGGCTTCTAATTTTTTTTTTTTTTCTTATTTATAGTGCTAGAGATTGAACCCAGGGCCTTATGCATTCTAGGCAGGCATTCAGCGACAGAGCTATATCATTAGTCTGCATGATTTCATTGAAAACATAACCAGGGCTATGGATATATTTCAGCAGCACAAGCACCTGCCTGGCAAGTGCAAGGTTCCAAGTTTGATACCCAGTGTATGTGGAGGAAAGATATGACCAGAACTGGCAAAACTATAGAGAGAGAAATTAGTATAGCAGTAGCCAAGGGCTGGGTGAGGGAGTAATGGGGAGTGGCTGATAACTGTCCCCTTGCTATATGAGGTTTTCTTAGGAGTGGGGTAATGAAAATCAAGTTAGTGATGATAGTTATACGACCCTGTACATTAGATACCGTATACTTTCTTTCCATTTATTTATTTAGTTTTTGTATTTTAGGGAAGGGTCTACAGGGTGTTCAGGGTCTCACTACTAGATCAGACTCATAGTGATCTGCCTGTTTACAGCCTCCCAAGAGCTGGGATTACAGGCGTGTAGCACCACATCCAGTCTCAATCGCTGTCTCATTGCACCCCATGGTTGGGGTCAGCATAGTGGGCCCTGGGGATTGAACCCCTGGTCCCTGTACCTGCTTGCAGGTGCTTTAATCTGCTGAGCTATTTGGGCAGCCCTAAATACTGTACACTTTAAAAGGTAACTTTAGGGCATGTGAATTTTATCTCAATAAAGATTAAAAAAAAAAAAAAAGAGGGAAGATGAGGACTAATTCTTCTTGGCTTGTTTTAGCATAAAGCTGAATATTAACAACGTCAAAGTTTTAGGGAAACTGAAGTTAAACAGTTTAAAAAGGAGGTACAGCCAGGTATGGAGGTCAAAGCCTGTAATCCCAGCACTCAGGAGACTGAGGAAGAAGGATTACCTGAATTCAAGGCCAGCCTGCCTTGAATTCATGGTGATACTTGAATACAGTGAAACTTTGTCTCAAAAAATATCAGTCAGGGGAGATGGCTCAGTGGAATAAGCGCTACCCTGGCAAGCACAAGGGCCTGAGTTCAATCCCTGGTTCCGCAAATAAAATTAATAAAATTAATAATATGATCATTTATCACTAAATGTAATGGCAGCTTGTAAAAAAAATATAAATCAGTCAATTAAAAAAGGGGCTGGGGAGATGGCTCAGCAGAATAAGTGCTTGCCTGGCAAGCACAAGAGTCTGAGTTCAATCCTCAGTTACACCAAAAAATAAAATAAAAATAAAAATAAATAAAAAATATGACATAAAAAGGGAATATAAGCCTATTATCTTTTCCAATTTTCAAATTTTGAAACTCCACTGACACACACTTACAGGGTACCTTTAAAACTACATAGGATAATTTTTACTTACCACTGCGAGGACGGCTTTTCCTGAGCCTGTAACAGTCAAGGCAGACCCCAAATCCACATTTGCGACAAACCCAGTGGATGTTGAAGAGAGTTGTTTCACATACATCGCACATCTCTCGTACTCCACGTACAGCTCTCTTCCATGCCACTTTCTCTGGTGGAAAAAGGAAGAGCAAAACTATTGGCACTGATTCTCCTGATCAAAAAGTCATGCATCTACTGACCCCCACACAAATAATCTCATCTAGCTCATTCGTGAACTTTACATTTCATAATTATATCAGAAACAAAATACAAGGCATTTCTAGTATATTAAGGGCTTTGAGTAGTAAGGACACAATAACTTAGCATTAATAGGGAATTAATGCTGCACGTTTTCACTTAAAGTACTATAAAGTTGGGCCTACTGGTGTATAACTGTGATCCCTGCTACATGGGAGACTAAGGCAAGAGGATCCCAAGTTCAAGGACAACCTGGACAGCATAACATGGAAAGTCTTGGTCTCAAAATAATAAAAATAAGTAAAAAAAAAAAAAAAAAAAAAAAAGATAGTAATGTAGCTCAATGTGAGGCCCTGGGTTCATTTCATAATACTGCTACAGGGACTGGTGAGATAGCTCAGTGGACTAAAGTGCCTGCTTTGATAAGCACAAGGACTGCAATTTGATCCCTAGTAGCACATGCTGCACCAGCCCCGCCCTAGAGTGGTGCTGAGCCAGCCACTGAAACCAGGCGCCATGGTGCAAGCTTATAATCCCAGTGCTGGGGAGGCTGAAAACAGGAGGATCACTATGAGTCTGAGCTGTAAGACCCTGTAACAACGAAATATATTAAAGCAAAACAAAACACCATAATACTGCTACACACACACACACACACACACACACACACACACACACGATAGTATAAATTTCTTAAATGGGGAGAGCTTGAAATACAGGGATTCTTTTTTTGAAATTTAAGGCCTAATTTCACAGTACAATTTTCTTTGGGGTGCCAATAGCATACAGTATCTCATAGACTTGGCAGATATGAAAAGTATAACCATCTGAATAACCCTGTTTCTAGAAATGAACTTGGCATCCCATAGGTCTTCATCTGTTCACAAACCATGGAACACTGCTTATTACCACAAATTAATTCAAGGCAAACCTCGAACACTCAGGGTGAACAAAACTCAAAGGTCCAAATGTATCCAATGGCAGCTGTGTGACGAAATGAAAGAGAAGTAGAAAGGAATTACTGGTTTTATAACTGTCAAAGACTGAAACAATGAAGTCTGTTGGATGTAGTTAAGGCCTTAGCTGTATGTTGCTACGAACAGGAATCCTATTGGTCTAATTCATGTAATGAAAATGCCATCTTACACGCTTCCCTTCCTGTGAAAGAATCAAAGTTTCCAACTAGCAGTGTTTGGAAGACAAGCAAGAGGGTGCCTTACGGTGTGGCTCCACCATCATCATAGCTTCCTTTTCAGACATTACAAGTTGACAGAACTGGTCCCCAACATTGGCCAGGATATATTTTGAGGTCTCTAGGTCTATCCCTTCTGCTAAGGAGGAAGAGGGAATCCACAGGTTCATGGCATCAGGGTCACTTTGCTGAGGGCTTAGAAACCCTTCCACACGAAGTACCCCCTTTCGAGTGAAGATCAACCTGAGACAGGAAAATAGACAGTTAACTATGGTCATCCCTTGAGATCCAAAGGTGACTGGTTCTAGGTCACACTCCTGCCCTCCCCCAGCTGTTAAAACCTGCAATTAAGTGTCTTATATAAAATGCAAGCAATGCATATAACCTATACACATTCCTTCCATATATTTTGAGTCAGCTCTAGAGTACTTACAAGGCCTAATGTGATGTAAATGCTATGCAAAGTGATGAGAAAACAGGTGTAGTATACTTGTAACCCTAAATACAGTTTCAATCCATTGTTAGTTAACTCTACAGACACTGAGCCAGCAGATAGTGGGCCCATGTGCTCCATTTGCTCTCCTGCTACTCTGATGTTCCAGCACAGAACAGCATCTTTATCTCCATCCTGTCCCATTTCCCAATCAAAAGATAATCCTCTTCTAATTCTGCCTTCTCTTTCCTACATTATCTATTTTTCCTGCTCTATCAAACCATCATTTTATGGATTTTTTTTTTTTTTTTTTGCAGGGGGGGTGTTCTTTTTGAGATAGGGTCTCACTATGCAGTTCAGGCTAGCCTTGAGCTCATTTTACAGCCCACAGTTGTCTCAAACTTGCAACAGTCCTCCTGCGTCAGTTTCCTACATGCTAGGATAATATGTGTACACCACTATATCTGGCTCAATCAATAATTTTTTTTCCAATTGATAATTTTTAAAAGCTGTATAAGATCAGCACTGAAATATGCTAAAAATTATATTACACACATCCACTCAATCCTACATTTTCCTTGATTTATCTGCTTGTAGGACCAAGTTCCTCTTTCCTTTTTCCTCCTCCTCCTCCTCCTCCCCCCTCCTCCTTCTCCTTCTTCCTTTTCTTCTTTCTCTTCTTCTTCTTCTTTTTGGCTGAACTGGGGATTGAACTCAGGCTCTTGCGCTTGCCAGGGAAGCAAGTTTTCTTCTTTTTTTAGTGCTGTGTGTGTGTGTGCGCGCGCATGTGCGTGCTTGTTTTTTGAGACAAAGTTTTGCCATGTGGTTCAGGCTAGGCTTGAACTCAAACTGATATTCCTGCTTCAACTTCCCAAATGGTGGAATTACAGGGATATGCTACCAGGCCTGACTGTAGGTTTCCTTCAAAGAGTTATCTACATTTATCACCAATTCTTTCTTTCCCTTTACATTTGTTCTTTATCCTCTACAACCTAAAATTTCACCCACTAATCTACCAACACTACTTTTGACTAGGTCATTCAATCTTACTAAGTTAAATGGCCACTTCCAGTTATCTCATATGACCTGTTGGCATTTGATGTAGTTCATCATTATTTCTTCCTGGAAACACTTTCTTTTTATTTTTTATTTTAATTTATTTATGTGTGTGTGTGTGTGTGTGTGTGTGTGTGTGTGTGTGTGTGGCCAGCTCAGCCCACCAGGGGGCTGGGCTGGCTGGCATGTGGTGCT